CTCGCGTGTTGGCCTTTCAAGGTCACTCTCTTTGCCTGCTCTTCATGCACCGGTGGCCTGTCCGATTCCTTTGTTCTAGTGCTCTCAGGACAGCTCGAGTTAGAAATCACTTGTTGGGCCCTCCTAACAAACCCAATTCCTGTTTCACTGTATCCTTCGATGGTTCGCCTTCGATTTTCATACTTACACATTTGTTCGCCAGATTTTATAGAGTAGAATTAGCAGTATGTGCAAGTAAGGGATACAGAAACGCCTGTTTTAGCGAAATCTCAGAATCTTCTTATTAGATCCTTTTCTACATTGACAACGGCCCTCGAGCTCTGTCAGCGGCTAGCATTATAGGCAGAAGCACATGACCGACAAAGACAAAGGCGACGGAATTGGTGTCTTTCTGGCTTATTAGCCTTCATCGTTCAGCCATGCCCAACCCCAAGTGGTGCGCCGTCAGATATTGTGTATGGCTTGCTGCGAAGGTTGGCAAACATGTCATTATAATATCGTGCCTCTTCTCTCCTTGGGTTTTTCTTGTGTACGTATTCTAGTGGTAGGTCAATAAAAATTGACGTAATCAGGACTTTTAAAGTACGTCCTGCATTCTCAGATGCTTCTTTCAATTATTTCATTCATTTATTGAAGGTTACTTTTGTACCTGTCTGTATTCTAACGTTTTTATTTTCGTCCCCCACAGGGCGGAAAATATGCCCTGGCTGTACTATAGATCACAGCAGGCCAGCTTAATACTGGCTGATACCGCTCTCACGGCCACCTACGCTAGCGGCAGCACTCTTAACCTCTACCTTGGTACCTATAGTCTTGGCGGTGAATTTCAGGGCTTCCAGAACGCCTCTGACACCAACACTCTGCAGCTGTGCAAGGACACCTTGGCTGTAATGCAAGCGGCCTTCCGTTTTGGTACTACCTATTCGCAGCAGGTTAGCCCATGGTCCCGTCGGCCAAACGCAGTTTTTCAGAAATTTTCTTTCTGAAGCGCTTTATCAGTGGTTGATTTACGCATCTTAGTGATCGTGGGTCTTACAACGTGGGGAATATACCTATATTGTAAAAATTTTCCAAAGGGGATATTACATCTCTGCCTTGTATGTTTTTTCATCGGAAAAGGAGATTGCAGTTCGAATTACTAGACTGTTAGCAGAGCTTCGTTTGTGGAAAATGGTATGTTTTCTCACACACCTACAACACAGGCACCAGTCAAAAGTCCATATAAGTAGTTCATCGATGCCGATGTATACAGTACTCTAGAACAAATACGATTTTTTTCTGTTTCTCCAGTTAAGAGAATTTTCAATACAAGCGAACATGTGAGTCTCAGGAACTAATTGAGAAGTAGAAGACGACTTGATTGCTGGGACAATATGTTTATTCGCCTGATGTTTCGAAGTCCGTCGCGGATTTCGAAACGTCAGGCGAATAAACATATTGTCCCAGCGATCGAGTTGTCTTCTACTTCTAAGTTCAGAGAATCATTACAACGAGATTTTGGTAGATGCATAAGGGTTAATTTGAAATTATGTCTATTAGTCATTGAACACATTTCTGATCGTTTTCTTTCAAACAGATTAGTGAACCTTACTTTTTACTTTTATTTATCCCTTTAGTGTGAGCTCAACGCGGATGACCTTTTTGACAGTGAGAAATATCCATTGGCCTTCTACGATCCTTGTATCCTTTTGAAAGTAGTCATGTTTTCATAATATTGCGCTTTAACGGAGAGTGTTGCGTGTTGCTGTCAAGTTTCCACCAACTGCCGTTTTTTTCTGTGCCACAGGTTTTACTGAGCACTACAACTAGAAGTAGTAGTGGGTGACTAGTAACGCCTAAATAATTTCATCGAAAAAATTCTTGGGAGACACCTCAGTTAGGGGCAGATCTGAGAGATGGCTTTGTACAGTACGTGCCGGAATTCGTGCAACATGCCGACATATGCGAAAAATTGATACTCTTTCGCTAGTCGGCATTGACTCAGGTTGTGAAGTTGATTCCGCCATGATAGGATGTCGGCTTTTTAACGAGCTCATTTGTGACCGCTAACAAAACGTATATGCTGTAAAAAGTAACTATTTATATAGTATGCGTTTTTGTTATTTATTTTGACTGCCTTCGTAGATTCAACTATATTTTATAGAAAAAGTAAACGAAAAAATATTTATTGTACTCATTTGGTAGAAAATTACGCTTTTTTAAATTTTATACTTAAAAAACGGGTATCTCTCGGTTTTAAAAAAGTTTATAAATTGCCGAATAATTATGAAACCTACTGACTGCTACAGTAGAATTCAAGGTTTACAAACTGCGCACTGTGTACATCCTGTCTAAGGAAAGTATATTTTTGCCTATAGTTTGAGGAAGAAATCATATAGTTCTCATAAAATGTTGCAATGGGTGTGGAACATGCTTTACACAGTATTGGCAGCATTTATAAATTGACGGATACGATGTATTATGAACGAACGCCTCACAATCGTAAAAAACTCATAATTAGACTTTTTAAGCGTCCGGGACATGCATTTTTGGGTCAAAATCCAATTTTCAATAAACAGTTGGGTCGAAGACGATCAACTTATTGGGACTGGGCATGCCCGGCTGATGACGGTTTGTAAGCCAGAAATGGCCACTCTAGTTTTCCTTGCATTTGTTGGTTCCACAACATCATATATAAAATGTCATTATGAGATTTCCTGCGATTCATCTAAAACAAAAACCTAATCGCCGTTGTCCACAGCAACAGATTAAAATGTTTAATTCTTAAATAAAGCAAACGACTCTTTAGAAAGCGCTTAAATCCGATGATTAATTTCCTATAATTCGACATTGAAAGAGGAGGATATTCGACGCCGCCAACGTCGTTCCTGCAGCACTAACTCTCCAAGAGGCGGGTAAAACAAAGGTTCCTTATGCCAGAACTAAGGAACAACTGATAATCACTAACAAACTGGCATAAAAGAATGCACGAAAACTTTTAAAATATAAGGAATAACATTAAGTGAATTCAAAACATCAGAAGAATATTAAAAGACTATGGCGTTCTTAAGTAATACAAACATTTGTTGATAACGTAAAAAGGTCGCTGTAACTGAGTAAACCTGCATTTTTGATTTAGAACACATACATAACCTTCAAAAATAGGTGTATCTAAAGGCAGTCTCTGCAAAGCAGCTTTTAGTTCGATCATAAATTCCAGTACGGTTTAATTTGAATTTATTCAGCTAACCTGGTTGAAACTGTAGTTTAAGTAACAAAAGGGGTTCTTGTTTGAGTTTTTTGATAGGGTCGTCATTGGAAAAAAATGTCTATGTATTTCTGCCTTTGAATTAAGGTTGGTTTTAGCTCCTCCGTTAAATATATTCTATAGAAAATGTAAACGAAAAAAATTATTTATTGTTCTCGTTTGATAGCAAATTACGCCTTCTTTACATTTTATAACTAAAGAATGGTTATCTTCCGGTTCTAAAAAAGTTTCTAAATTGCCGAATAATTTTGAAAACTACTGGCTGCTACACTCGAATTCAAGGTTTACAAACTGCGCACTCTGTACGTCCTATTTAAGGAAAGGTACGTTTTCACATATAGTTTGAGGAAGAAGTCACACAGTTCCCATAAAATGCTGCAATAGATGTGGAGCATGCTTTATACAATATAGACAGCATTAATAAATTGACGGATACGATGTATGGTGAATGAGCACCTAAGAATCGTAAAAATGCTCATAATTAGACATTTATCTCAAACCGAAGGATACCCTTTCTTTAAGTATAAAATTTAAAGAAAGCATGATTTGCTACCAAACTAATACAGAAAATAATTTTTCCGTGCATATTTTCCATAAAATATATTTGAATTTATAGAGGCAATCAAAATCAATGATAAAACTCATACAAATTAGGTAGCTACTTTTTACAGTACATACGTTTTTAGTGGTCAGAATAAAGCTCGTTAAAAAGCCCGCATCCTAGCATGACTGAAATGACTTCAGAATACACTACGCGATTATCGGTAGCACAACCTGAGTCAATGCCGATTAGTTAAGGAATATCCATCTTTCGTATATGTCGGCATGTTGCACGAATTCTGGCACGTACTGTAAGATCTGAGTAGCCAGCTTGCTAGCACTTTCATTCTTCATTCTGGTGGTGGTGGTTTCAAAGTTATCATGTTAACCTCAGTCTCCTCACACGGCATAAACACTTCCAGGGATGCAGTGATAAGTTATAGAATTACGGACGCCTCGCCAGACTGAATGAGGAAACGTCGCAGTCAGCTAATTAAAATGAAGTGGGGGTGTTGGCTTACATTCAGTTAAATGCGACCAACTGGTGAACAGTACGGCCGCATTGCAGTATTAACTAGAAAAACAATGGCACCCATACCACGAGAAAGTAGTCGAACGATATACTGGGGTTCACATCTCGTGATATGTTAACTGAAAATCTGAAGTAATATTTCGCTGAAATAAAGGTTAATTAGGTGATGGTGTCTTGTTGATTACCATGCAGCGTAATCGCAAAATGTATCGGCGTAATTGATTTCTCTCTGGCTGCCCGCAGAAGCCGCTCTGCAAAAATCCATGATAAAATGCATACTCCCTCTTTTGCCAGATATGGTTTGGCAGGCGACTGAGAAGAAACTTATTTAAACGGTGGTATTCTGACATTATTTAAATATCTTGGCATTGCGCTTTCCGATATCCAATATTGTAACCGCATTTGCATACTCCTTTCCTATCGAAATGCAATTTTTGCATCTATGCCAACATCTCATGTGATACTTCAGATGTTTCTTTTAACAAACAATGCACAGTGGTAAGTGAGCACTTGCTCTAGCAAAAGTATTACATAAAGCGCAGGTTTACGAGTTTTCGAACACTGCATTTCGCGCTAAAGAACAACTCCAGTCTCAATGGGTCTCAACAGGTCCAAGATTTCTTCATTTGGGCCCCCAGAGTGCGCAAACGCTAGTCAGATTCATCAACTTAATCTTTTTATTTACGTTGGACAGTGCCCCAGGACAAAGTTTAACCTTGCTTTTTGGTCGGATAAATTATGCCCTGTTAAGGCTGATATCCATCTCGTTTCTTGTACTGTTCTGGCATTGCTCCTCCCCCACCCATTGGACGAAAACTCTATTCGATCGTTACGTCCTTTAGGAATTAACATTGAAACATAATGTTCGCCAACTGGGGAAGACAAAAGCGACCATACATGTCAGTTTCGACCGGTTTCACGTCAAAACGACCTATCCGATGAAGACAAAGGAGCCTGAGACGATCATATATGCTTTATTAGCTGTCATCAGCCGGCAATAACCAACCCCAGGATTTTACGGTAGGAGCACCTCGTGGTGCCACCTGGCGGATGCGCTTCGCGCGCCCCTCAAGCTCATGGGCACCTGATTTTAGGGGAGAGGACAGGTGGGGCATGTCAAGAAACAAATTAGATTGCAATAACCCTGTAAAATAAAAAAACGTTACGAGGGTAAGTTGGGGTGCGTACTGAAACCTTGGGCAGGGACACCGAAGTGCGCTTTAACATCATCGCTAACCCCCCCCCGGGCCAACGGCAAGCGCTTGTATGTAGGGGAGTGTGCCCTGACCTCGGGCAAGGTCATTGAGGTACATTTTCTAGTAGTACCATTAACTCCAACTAGAATAAAGGTTAACGAGTGCACAACTTGAAAGATTGTGGAGTTCACCCTACTTAATTTTTTTAAGTAAGCGACTATTCCCGTGGTTAATTTGAAAAGCCATTTTTGCTTAATATACTGACTTAAGCGGTTATTGTATGTGGTGGCCTTCCGAGGACCTCTCTGTAGTTCAATGCCTTCATCGAATCCCCACTGGATCGACGGCCGACGTGCAGAAAACTGAAAGGTTGTGGGTAATTCAACCTACTTAGCATTTATATGTAGGTGTTTATAATGCATAAGGGCCTTTTGCGGCCCCAGTAGGTACTCACCGATTTTAAAACTCGTGACCTGCTTGTTAGAAATCCACCACACCAGCCAATTAGCTGCGGGTACGTTTTTCTGTCGGTTACAATAAGGTACGTAGTGGCATGTTCACCGATTGCGTTACGGTGAGCCCGAAGGAACAATG